CAACATTCGAGATGACTGCAATTGGCAGCAACATCCAAAATGACCTCAATTGGCAGCAACGTCCGAGGTGATTTTAAAATAAGAAATAAATTGGATTTGAAAATTTAAGTAGTAGATATATACTCCTTGCAAATCGAGTCGATGCCGTATTTTGGATCTTTGTTGTTTTTCGGTTCAAACACTACATAAATTCTTTTTGAATAGCTGGCTATTCGACCTGTAAACACCATTCATTTATAATTGAATTTTTGGTCTAAAGAGCACATGTTTGCATTGGCAGTGACAGTATAATACTGAACCCAGTACATTGTTTACCTTATCTATTGATAAACCACAAATACTCTATTCATATTCGATGAAAGTAATCGCATAAACAACAAACAAACAAAACCGTGTTTCCAACATAATAAGCCATGTAAACACAGTGCTGGATACGCTAGGAATAAGAGACAATTGTAAAAACATTGTCCAATTGAGAGGACCTGCTAATGAGGTGAGTTGTCGAGGACGCCCGGGAGGACGCCCAATAATTGACGTCATAGCAAACACATTTTACGATAACTCACACTCCATTGTGTAGCAAACACACAGCTAATGATAACTCACACTCCATTGTGTAGCAAACACACATTTTACGATAACTCATACTCCAGTGTGTAGCAAACACACATTTTACGATAACTCATACTCCAGTGTGTAGCAAACACACAGTTTACGATAACGCATACTCCAGTGTGTAGCAGACACACATTTTACGATAACTCATACTCCAGTGTGTAGCAGACACACATTTTACGATAACTCATACTCCAGTGTGTAGCAAACACACATTTTACGATAACTCATACTCCAGTGTGTAGCAAACACACATTTTACGATAACTCATACTCCAGTGTGTAGCAAACGCACATTTTACGATAACTCATACTCCAGTGTGTAGCAAACGCACATTTTACGATAACTCATACTCCAGTGTGTAGCAAACGCACATTTTACGATAACTCATACTCCAGTGTGTAGCAAACGCACATTTTACGATAACTCATACTCCAGTGTGTAGCAAACACACATTTTACGATATCTCATACTCCAGTGTGTAGCAGACACAGTTTACGATAACTCATACTCCAGTGTGTAGCAAACACACATTTTACGATATCTCATACTCCAGTGTGTAGCAAACACACAGTTTACGATAACTCATACTCCAGTGTGTAGCAAACGCACATTTTACGATAACTCATACTCCAGTGTGTAGCAAACGCACATTTTACGATAACTCATACTCCAGTGTATAGCAAACGCACATTTTACGATAACTCCATACTCCAGTGTGTAGCAAACGCACATTTTACGATAACTCATACTCCAGTGTGTAGCAAACACACATTTTACGATATCTCATACTCCAGGGTGTAGCAAACACACAGTTTACGATAACTCATACTCCAGTGTGTAGCAAACGCACATTTTACGATATCTCATACTCCAGTGTGTAGCAGACACAGTTTACGATAACTCATACTCCAGAGTGTAGCAACCATAATATCATTTGCAGCTGGGCGAATTATCCTCGTATATGCTGTCGAAATCTGTCTTTATTTTACTTAATTCTTAGTATATTCATCACATTGATTTTTTACAGTGTTTATTTGTCATGGCAAATACGTATTGACAATTCTAGAGATTGGCTATGAATATTTTAAAATGTACATGTAATTAAATTACTTTATCGCGTAATTTAAACACGACATATTTCATTATATAGCCTTATTGATTTTAAACGAGATCCTATGTTTGGACAAGTCTATTTAGATATTCAATTCACTGTGATTAGATTGTGGCTTCTATTCCCATGGTTTACTCAGCAGTTTACTCACTCAGCAGTGAGAAAAAAAATTGTGCTCGGTTGTGATACTCGTCGAATTTTTGCTTGTTCGACAATTGTGTCTAGTCGGAGGATCGTCTTCCCTGTGCTCACAGTATTCGTGGCTGTTAGATAATGGTGTCTAGTCGGAGGGAACGTCTTCCCTGTCCTCACAGTATTTCTGGTTGTTCGATAATGGTGTCTAGTCGGAGGGAACGTCTTCCCTGTCCTCACAGTATTTCTGGTTGTTCGACAATTGTGTCTAGTCGGAGGATCGTCTTCCCTGTACTCACAGTATTCGTGGCTGTTCGATAATGGTGTCTAGTCGGAGAGAACGTCTTCCCCGTCCTCATAGTATTTTGTCCCAATGAGTCTCGGATTAGTCGACAATGTGCTTTCAAACTAGCAAACACACTGGTGTCGTAATATATCCAATTCGTATTTGAATTATTTTACTTCAACGTAGCAATTGGTATTATTTTGTTTCTTTCTTTCTTTATATAAGTATACATAGCTTGAGAGACCACACCGAAGTACTTTTCTCAGTACCAATAGATCAGTGGTTAATGTTTCTCGGCAGGACCGTTCACCATAAGAGAATGGGGCAAGGGGATAGCTGGTACAGGTTACAGAAAATAAAAAAAGGCATTACGTTTTTACATGAAATAAAATAAAAGTTCCATTTACAGTAAAAAATAGGTTTTTACACTTTACAGATTAAGCAAATTCCTAATTACATTTTTATAATATCTTTGATAATGTGTACCCGGCATACTCAAGTAAAGGTGGTGCGCGTCTTGTCACAGAATAAAGCCCAGTACATGAGCTTATCAAATGGTGAATGTAATCTTGTTTAATATCAGAGGTTAGTCACATGACTTACATGTCGGCTACATCATTTTGTTGTTTCTCAACAAGTGGTCTCTGACATTTATTTCTTAAGCCTAGATAGACATTTGAAAAAATATTTTTTACAATAAATACAATATTAATCAATATTAACTTCCTCTTTAAAAACAAAGTCTTTAATCATTCCGTTATATAGGAATGGCATATTTCATGACACTTCGTTATACCGAAATTCTTCGGAGAAATGCAAAATTAATTTCACTTCAGGTGATTTTTCTTAGTTTAGATTCACTGTCACAATTGCTGTGTTTGTCGATGATATATGTGTGGGTAGGGCATGACTAAACTGCAATCATGAAAATGTTCTTCTGAATCAGAATGTCATTTTTTAATTAAAAAAACTATATTTTTCCATGGTGATTGTGACATTTACGACAATCTACATGTTTCCATTCATAGTACAAAAAACCATGTGAAAGTAGTTTACAAATTCGAGTAAAGTCTGATTTTCGTTCTGTTGAATTATATTTCTAATTTGTTTTGTTTTTTTAATTAAAATGCTGAGCAGATTTAACAAGTTTGATTTCATGTGAAAATAGATAAATAGATTAAAGCGCCATGTCATTGGTGGTTCTGTCGCCGGCCTGAAATCAATCAAAAATGAACCTCGGCATATCTTGAATTCAATCAGTGTTACGTCACAATAACGTCAACAGGTCGTCGTAATTGTTGCATAAATTAGGCTGTGGCGTGATACAAAGTATGAATTCAATATACTAGTAAGCTGAGATTTATTCTTACTGATTTCAGGCTGGTGAGAGTTCTCTAAATGTAAAGTGACAAACAACAGATGTAAATTCCTTCGCTTATTCGATTCTAATATTTTGTATTCCTTCTCACAAGTTTTCAGAATATATATATCTCATTTTGTGATTAACCACACCCTTTTGAAATTTGTGAAAATAAAAAATGCACTTTAATTTTGTTCAAAATGCCGATAACAAATAGCTCATCATTTAGGATTGCTGTGACAAGAATATTGTCGTTTTAGGGATTTATTTATTTGCTGTTTTTAACAACAAAAATGTGATATTCATCCCTAAATTCGACTACTTTACTATTTGTAGGGGGTTGCATACAACATTACGGCCAAGTATACTGTATCCATAGTCAGGTGACATCCAAATGTTCTGTATACCATAGTCACGTGACTGATAATTCGCCCACGCATCAATTATTTACCTATGGAAAATAAACCGGAAAGTGTGATTTCTGTTGGATGATTTAAAGCTGGAGAGTTGTCACCTACGCATGCGTCATATGGCCATAGCGTGTCATTGTTTACAAACAAGCGTTTACCCATGAGCCTTTGCGTGTTTAGCGTGGGTTGTTATCGTCGCTTGGGACTCAATTCCCGCGCGTGCGCAGGTGACAACCCTCCCGCTTTATCTTGACCCTGCATAACCCCCGAAACCATTCTGATGTTTACATTTTATGATTTCAGATTCTGAAGAAGCTTTATTTAACCCAAATTGTAGAACAATGTTATTATTAGAAAACATTAAACAAAGATGTCACTGTGCAGAAGATGGTGAGTTATTTTATTTATTTATTTATTTATTTATTTATTTATACGTGAAAGTGTAATTTTCAACATTCGGATACAGTTCAAATTATGACGTCACGACGGAAATCTCATGGCAATATCTGATAAATATATGATATATTCTAATGTTTATTATATGTATATCATCATTATCTGTCGGATGCACAATTCGTCTGGCATGCGGCCATTATCAGAATTATCATCCGTTTACTACAAATTGACTACGTTATTACAAGAAAAAGATATAATTTAAATTGTGTAACACATTCGTTTAATAAGTGTGAGTGATATGTCATAACATATATGACAAAGTCGACGTATGGACTAAAAATAATGTTACGTTTTGCTTTAGTTGAAGTGGATCTTTCCGATAACGAAGGCAATGTTAAGTATCTAAATGTAGCAGAATCATTACAGAAATATGCAAATGAGATACTGAAAGAAAGAGAAACATTCGTTTTAGTCAGAGTCGAACGTAAGTAACTTACTTTCATACCACGCACTCTGTCAGTCGTCTAAAGGGTCTTATAAGTTTGCCTCTTGTGTTTTAGTTTGATCAAAGAGTGGTATAATGTAGCCTACATCTTGTTTGAAAAATAAGAGCGTCAGATAAACCTTACAGAATCATTACATACTGGAAATTGGGTTGACAATAACAAGTCCGTCGGTGAGGGCGCACTATCTCACGCCGATTACTGGTACGTGCTACTGGTATGTCACGACGGTGTTAGTATTTTCCTGAAAAGCCCCGCCTGCAATTCCGTTTTACACTGTCGATGTGTGCCATAGATGACATACTTATTCTGTTTAAATATTCTGTATACACTTTAATTCACAGGTCTTGATGAAAACAGTAAACCCCAATACTACCCTCTACTCAATGACGATACGATCGACGCTTCTTTCTTGGGTAAGAATACAATAAGTTTTGAATAGGTCGATAAACCCAATTAATAGCACAATTATCATATATATTCTAATTAACAACATTGATATTAGCGAATGCTCTGCACTCTAATCGAATGGAATCACAAGTATGAGGTTTGACCTGGGCGCGACTTGCACTAATCACCTAAAAATACCTAACTAAAGCTTGGTAACGTCTCGGTTTGTACTCGTTGGTCTGCCCAACAGTCAAAGTCGCCATTTTTGTTTATATGAGACCCATATATCTCGTGCATGCGTGGCGCGACGACTATCGCCCTTTAAGTAATACGTAATGCTGTAATTTTAGAAATGTGATAGTTTCCATAGTAACGTTATATTGCTGTACTGTGCGTTGTTGTGAATTCCATGGTGCCTCTAAGTGTAACCAAGTGATGTATGGGATATCTAACATGTGCCACCACAGATGAAATGCACCCTCTTTGTAACACAATGATGCACGTGACACCTGTAAAAACTGGTGAGCACAGATTAGACGGAACAAATATGTGTTAGTAATTTTAAATGAGAGGTGTTCACATACACATCAGAAACTTTTGTTCACGTTCATTTTTCAATATACATGTATTTCCACATCTAATTAAACCATATGTAATAAGTTGAATATAATGGACGAATGTTGTCTTCGTGGTAAGCTGACTTTTGTAGATTAGGACTGACACAGTCACGAAACCCATATTCAACTCTCTTGGTGAATGATAGTTCTGTGTGCAATCTCGTATAACACGAGATATAGCCGGCATTCGGACCTCCACCCAGCGTGACGTCACAGTGAAACACTGTTCCCATTGTGTATTTGTTATTGTGCAATGTAATTTCTATCGCAACGAAATATGTGTGTGTTTTAGAGTTAGCAATCATCGTCGTGGTCATATTGTGGTCTAGACGTGTTCATTCTGTTTGATCCAATCATGGCGTTGTTAACAACTGCCATACTTATTGTTAATTGGCAGAACGGTGGAATGTCATTTTAATTAGTCGGGTGATAACAATTTGTACGTTCTATTCACCTACGACACTCAACACACATTGCCATGGTAACAGAGAAGGTTTTAAACACAAAATATGCATGTGGCAATTATTCAGTGGATTTACAAAATGTGTTACATAATGTCACGTGACATATAACCTTATATTTTCTTACCTGCAGCCAAACTATCAAGTAAAGATAATGCCGGGTCACAAAGTGGTAAACGAAAGAAACGTGGTGACAAAGATGGTCTTAAAACCAGCCAAGCCAACACTAGAGGGCGATCAGGATTCAAAGTTGCACCTCCACCTGGCCCAGCTAAATCGACCACACCAACAGGAAAAAGAAAGAAATAGATCAAACCAACGAAAAACAAATCGTATAAATCTGCAATATTTATACACATATACGTGTATTTATTCTTAGTAGTTCTTGTCGAAATGTATCATGTGACCTTAGTACACGTACTTCGAGACAACAACTGTATGTGCATGTAGGCCACCACACTGGAATGTCGTTTGCATAATGACGTCATGTGCGTATACAATCAATGACGTCATGGCAATTTAATTTGTGTGTCGCTATCGAAGTGATTCCAATATATGGATGTATGAGGGCGTCCTCTTACAATGTTTTATTTTCCTGTGCGTGTGGGCGTGATGACTCGATAGATTCGGCATCACTTGTACAGCATTGAGTGATTTTCAGTTACATTACAGTTATTGGACGGCAATAGTAGATTTCTAAATAAAGATAGATTATATAACCAACACTTCGCGGTTCTTAAGAATGTATAAATCTGTTTATGCTGAATGTTAGATTGGGTAGTGATAGGAACTGTATTAAAATGAACACGCAGCAGTTTAGAATTAGTGAATGATACATGTTGGATGGCATGGCAACCAAAATATCAGCTGTATGTGTATAAACTAGTCTACTGAATCTCAAATTCAACATGTACTTTGAACAGGCGACGTAACCAGGGTCTTCGGACTGGAATACAATTTGTCGAATTATATTCTAAACAAATAGTCGTATTGAATATTGTATCGTATATCTGCTAATGTTACTATAGCTAGAACTCCACCGTAGAAACATGTAACTACGTAAAACCGAATTGGGCGCCCTCTCTGGCTAATTTTAAAATATACATGTATATATATTCGGCATACACTGACATCCAATGAAAGAAATGATTGAATAAATGTTGAATTTATTACATCATATAACCACAAATAAAACGTGTGTTCCTAACTTTTAACAACTAAATACACAGGGAGACAGGTAGTGCAGGGGCGGGTGTCGGATTTTGAAATAGAGAAACATCTTTACAATGACGTCATTGTCGTACTGCATTATGGTGTATGAGCAACGACGAAATCTGGGCTCATCTGGTAAAATGTGATCGGTGAAGCCTGTCTAAACCGAACACCAAATGGCTCTGGCATATTGGTCAGCATTTTCCAAGCATCGACTGGACCTGTCGGTTCAACGGCAGTAATCAGTCTGAATCGAGCCTTTTGTGTGGTTGATTTACATGGGTCTTTGGGGGAAACCTGTCTAAACCGAACATCAAATTGCTCTGGCATATTGGTCAGCATTTTCCAAGCATCGACTGAGCCTGTCGAATCAACGGTAGTAATCAGTCTGAATCGAGCCTTTTGTGTGGTTGATTTACATGGGTCTTTGGGGGAAACCTGTCTAAACCGAACATCAAATTGCTCTGGCATATTGGTCAGCATTTTCCAAGCATCGACTGAGCCTGTCGAATCAACGGTAGTAATCAGTCTGAATCGAGCCTTTTGTGTGGTTGATTTACATGGGTCTTTGGGGGAAACCTGTCTAAACCGAACATCAAATTGCTCTGGCATATTGGTCAGCATTTTCCAAGCATCGACTGGACCTGTCGAATCAACGGCAGTAATCAGTCTGAATCGAGCCTTTTGTGTGGTTGATTTACATGGGTCTTTGGGGGAAACCTGTCTAAACCGAACACCAAATTGCTCTGGCATATTGGTCAGCATTTTCCAAGCATCGACTGGACCTGTCGAATCAACGGCAGTAATCAGTCTGAATCGAGCCTTTTGTGTGGTTGATTCACATGGGTCTTTGGGGGAAACCTGTCTAAACCGAACACCAGATGGTTCTGGCATATTGGTTAGCATTCGATTCAGATGGGTGTTTGGGGAAAACCTGTTCAAACCGAACACCTTTTGAGTGGTTGATTCACCTGGGTATTTGGGGTCAAACTTGTCTAAACCAAACAAATCCTAACATATTGGCTGGTTATTGTAGGTGTTTTGGACGAAATCTGTCTAAACCGAACACCATAGGATTCTGACGTATTGACTGGTCCACATGGGTGTATTGAATGAAAACTCTCTAAACCGAGCACCATTATGATTGGTTCACATGTTTGTTGTGTTTTTATATATACAAACAACCTCCGTGGATAGGTTTTTAAACCCCTAATATTTCATAAATCTGCGAGATCGGCTTCACATACTATTCAATTTAATTTGACTTTATGAGTTTATCATAGTAGATTTGTCCAGCAGCGACTGTGTCCGGAATGCTCCACGATCGAGTGTATTCTATCTTCCCATGGATATCCATTTTGGTGTCGCCTCGTTCTCGTTCAACAGTACTTTAGCCTCGTAAACCCAGGATACTCGCAGTTCAGTTCAGTGAAAGAATAACTACTGTTCAGTCCATAATTTTTCATATTTAAAAAAACGCGTTTTAAGTTAACATTTGATGATTTTTCAGGGGAACATGGTCCATATTCTGGGCGACATACTATGGCAATGATCGTACACCTGTTATTGCAGGTAAACTAGCCAATCACAGAGAGAAAAGATTCTTGGGCAAATAATCTATTATACAAAGTCAGTGTGGTCAGATATTTATAATGTCTGGATTTATTACGTAATGTGTGGTTACTCTCCAAGAATTTAGCTTTATACCGCGGACGCTGTTTACAGTTTAGTTCTTATGATAAATTATGCGCTAATGGCGACATTGGGATGAATTTCCGCTGCGGCTGTCAAAATAAAGAACGAGAGCAAATAAACTGTATTTGACAGTTCCCTGACTGATAGAAATATTTGTCTTCGGGTGTATGGGGGAGGGGGCTATAGTGAGATACTAACAAAATCAACGTTGTCAAACTTGAATTAACCCCCCCCCCCCAGGACTGCAGAATAAGTGACTACGTAAAAAAAAAATTTTTTTTTCGTTTAAGTAATCGTCCGCCGGGCGATCATTTTCAAGTTCATGTAGGTGCATTTTAATCTTTTGCAACAAACAAAACATTTGTAGAAAATCCCACCTCGCTAATCGAGGCAGGAAAATAAAGTACAAAGTCTGTGATACGATAAGGAGCTGAGAGGGCACGTGCAAACAAATTACTTCTAACAGTGTATGATTACAGAGTTGAAAATGTCATCACATTTTGGCGGGAAAAATTGGGGCCGTGCAAAGGTGTTTCCTCGGCAATCACCGAGTGTGACACGGTTTTCTAGGTTGGCAACAGAGGACAAAACCTGAATTCTTTTGCTTAAGAATTCATAGTTCCGCTATTTAAATATCAAAGCAGCAGTGTGTATTGAGGTATTCGGCTTTCATTAACGCTTCATTAACAATTCTGTAGTAGAAAAGGATGGGCCTCGGTTTAACCATGGTTTGACACCCCCAAACTTTTAACGTATATCGGTAACAACTCTGTCTCGTATCAAATAATCATGGGTGTAAGCAAATGTAACTTGGAGTAGGAATAATTTTAAACTCTAATTCAAATCACTTACTTAGACTAGTCTGAAAGAGTCGTTGTTTTGCTTTTTCGTGATTTTTTTTTTCTGGTTTTCATTCATAGCTGATGGCGGTATCCCACTAAGGTAACGTGATCCTCTATATTGCAATCTAATTGGTTGAGATAACAATACCACATCAAGCTGCCAATCAATAAACACGATTGTCCAATCAGAGCAGAGCGTGATAAGCTACGTTGAAACTAGCGACCTCGTGCTTCAACCATTGACACAACGAAGTGGGCTTAATTCACAGTGCTATAAGTTGATGCCAGCGGTTCGGAAAAAAGTTTGACTGCATCGCAATAACACTGCCGCGTATTGACGCATTTTATAGTGATGATGACGGAGATTCACACATGTTTCCGCGAGAGTTTGGACTGCGTCGTGCGACCGAAAAGAGCAAGGATTGAACCTCAGAAGTACACTGATATTGGGAATGGGATTATCCCACAGAAGAGATTGGAGTTGCATGGTATACTCGAAGTATTGAAAGAATACGATTCTTGTGCAGGGGGAATAAACTGTTGTATATGTGGTAAGTACATTTATAATGTAACTTTAACACTTTGTATTGCCATGACGGTTTCCGTTTACAGTATTGCAAAACATTCTAAAACTCTGACCCAGAGGTATAAATTACCTCCATGCGAAGACCCAATTTTTTATCCCAATATTACTCTCTTCCTGTTGAAATCATTTCGATATTTATCGGTATTTCTAGATTACTGGGTTATTAGCAATCAAATAACCTTGTTTGTTATGAAAAGTAATTTGATTCCTATTTTTGAAATTTTTTTCTTTCCTATTTTTTTTAAAAAACCACAACATGGTGTTCAACTCATGAATTATTCATGTGTGGTATTTAATAACACCTCATGGTCGCAAAATCGTTGCGAATCAAACAAGAAAATAGATTGAGCACTTTTTGCGAAAATTACAAGCCTCATTTTCCTGGGTTTCCTTGTATATAAGGCATTTGTGTTTTAGCAGGATGTATTTATTTGTACATCGATTAGTGTTTTAGGAGAGTTTTATTTTGGCGGGAAATCCTTGTGGTTTGTTTGCATACCAATACACGAACGTCTATTCATTCGATGTTGCTGTCTGTTTTTGTTCAACAGGAAAATTATACAAAAGTAAAGTGTGCTTCACCAAACACTTGTGGGAACATAGTGTGTATTGGGACTTATTCGATGGAGCTAAAAATCACGACAGAGTACTTTCAATCCAGGCTGCCCTGATTCTTTACCAGAATTCTTTCACTGACTTTGAGGAGAGCGTTTTGCCAGTGTTGTTGGTGACGTCACCGCACGATAAAAAGTCGCGACATGAAACAGAAAATACCGAAAGTCCGAGCAGTCCTAAAATAAAGCAAGAAAAACATTTGAAGAAGTTCAGCTCTCCCAACAAGAAGAGGAAAAGGCATTGTTCTATGGAATATTAGCACGTATTTTTTTTTTTGCTAAGCTTTCTTAACCGCTTAGACGTTATTTGCAAATTTGGAGTTATTTACATTTGAAAAAGGGAAGTGAAAACTTGATGTTTTGTTCAACATTACTTGATTTTCAAAATATCTTCTGAAATATTTGCTATGATTACTGCCAAGATTTGAAGTTTCCTGCCAATATTCTCTACAAAAAACATTTAATTGTATAAAAACGTTTATTCGATATAAACATTGAGTGAAATAGTATGAAGTTAGTTATATTTTTGTGATGGGCAAAGACCTATCAGTGTTTTTCAGTGTGGAAGGGGTATATACAAATTTGATTAATCGCCATGTAAAATAATGTCGACCAAATTATTTTAAAATCAGTGTTACTATTTGTTTTATTCACTTTTTCACTTTCACATGAAATTTGTTTTTATTTCGAACAGTGTCTGTATAAGTAAGACTTTAAAATTGAAAAATTCAACATGATTACGGAGGGCTATTGTTGAAAAGAAATTTAATGATTTTGGAAGAACTAGCTTGGATATGTTGACAATTTAGTGTTTGCAAGCACTGTTATATTACTATATGCCCCCCTAAACCATGTGTATTAAGACCACATTCCAATGGTAGAAACCCTCATATATCTTTGTTGACCTTTGACCTGTATTTGGAGGTCACCTCAATTTTCAGCTGTTCTTGTAAGGTCATGACAGTGATTAATTGATCCACACTTGATAGGGACTAACCATGATGGTTATATGGGTGTGTGCCTCATTTTAGGGGCTGGCCAATTGTGTTGGGTGGGATGGGGGTTGCTTATCCAACTGACTGGGACTGTACGTTGATACTAGTTTTCTCATGCTAAAAACCACTTTTAAAAGTAAAAGATAAAAAGTGAATTTATTCTTTCAACAGACTATATTCTAAATTGTGTAAATTTATACTTAGGTAGGTCCAAGTTAAAACAAGCTGCCATTGAATAAACTGCCAAATTATTTGTACTGTATACTGCCATGTTGTATATTAAAAGTGTATATATGTAGATACGTTTTTGGAATGTCCAGTTGTGGAATGGTTTAAACACTGCCAAGTACAAATAATGCATCATTATTTGTCAGTCTAGATCCAGATTTACAATCCAGGAACATTGTCTGGAAGATTTTGTTACATTTGTTTTATTAGAAGCGCATATAAAAATGAGCATTTGCTGTATTTTAAATCATGACTGACTTTACCCATACCTCTGTTATGTATTTTACAACATATATGGTATTGTGTAAAGTTTTAATTTTACAAAACTAATTTCAGTAGTCTGTTGATATCAAGAAATTTCAAAACTGGAAAGTCAAGTGGAGCCTACAAGATAGTCTGAGATTGTAAGGCTCAGAAGGCCGATCAAGACCACATGGATTGTCAAACAGCTGCAGAAGGAAGAATTGTTTAGTTTCCTTCTCTGAAGGAAAACAACCCTCCTGAAGTTGTTGGGATTTAAACTAGTTATGAAAAATACACTATTTTAGCTACATTGTTTTTATTATTGCAGATTTATATTATACATGCAAATTGTTGGCACGTCGGCTGAATAAAGTTTCTGCTGTCCAAATCATGATTTCTATAAATTTTATTTAAACTCCAGAATACTGTAAAATACTTTATTTTAGCTGGAATTAATTTTCACTGAAAAGACATTTTGGCTGTTTTGTATGGACTTAATTTTCACCGATTTTTGAAAAGTTGAATGTAAAATATAGGAAAAAAGGTATATTCGCTTGATTTTATTTTCACTGAATCATTCCTTCAGCGTAAATGGCAAAAAATTAATTCCTAGCGAAAATAAAGTATTTTACAGTAGATTAGAGCACATATCCTGTTGCCTTGATTTATGCCATTTTCCTTTTAAAAAAAAAGTATTTTCTCTGACATTGTTCGAATTGTTT